TATATATATGAGACATGCTTAAAAATCTGAAAACATAGCAGTAAAACTGATTAACGGTTGATCTTTGAAGTAAAGTCTCACACAGGGAACAATGTCAGTTTACATTTTTCACTGAAAATCATTAGGTGGTTTGTATTTTTTAACACTATGTATTTCCTCTTTGAATATAATATGGTTTTTCATAGTAAATTGTATGGCCATTCATATATTTTACATACAAATGCAGACATGTATTTTACTGTAAAATGATATGTAATGTCCTCTTAGATCTATTCTAACTTTCATTTTTACAGGTTACAGTGAATTATTACATGGTTACAGTAAAATGAAGAAATCAGTAGCTAGAAGCAATTATGTATCAGATCTTATTTTTTTGTATCTTGCTGAATGTACGGAGGCATCTCTCAAATTGACACTTGAAGTGTAAAATTTCTTGCTAGAGATTTTGTTCTATGCAGTGAGACACCCACTAATTACCGTCTAATTTTAAGTGACTAATTTTCGCTTTATCAACACATCAGGAGGTTCTCATTGTTATTCAGCGTGTGACTGTGCATGTCATTTTAGTATATTTCATGTTTCTCTCTCTCTCTCGCTGTCACAGGATTCGTCCTCAGCTGGCAAAGGAAAAGATTGAAGGATGTCACATCTGTACGTTTGTGACCCCTGGCGAACCCCAGTTGGTTCTGGGAAAGGACAAGGCCTTTACATACGACTATGTGTTTGACATGGACTCGACGCAGGACACCATCTATGCCAACTGCACTGAGAAACTCATCGAAGGATGTTTTGAGGGTTATAATGCCACTATATTTGCCTACGGACAGGTTTGTGTTTCTTGAAATAAATGACCTAAGACACTTCTAGTTATTTACGGCCCCACACGCGAGGGATTTTGAATACATCCAGGATCATTTAGGATGACAGGTTGAAGGAGTTGTGCAAGCATATGTGCGAGCTCCCCTCTGACATCCATGCATTATGTTGTCTCGCTCATCTATGGCCAGTGTTGCCTGTGACCTGCATTTCATGGCCGACTTCCTCCAAACAGCATCACAGAGATTTGATATCTGTCTGTCTCTCCCTCTGGCACTGCATTAATCCTGATTTATCGACAGTCTCACTCATCCGCCAGACAGACACATCGAACTCCTGCAGAAAAACACATGTGCCTCCCTCTAGGCAGAAACTGTACTAATAAGATTGTTAAATGTGATGTCATAAATGTGTTTATTATTTAAATGCGATCATATAATTTTACATTACAGCTATAATTGGGTTCAAATGAACTACATAATGAGTGTTGATTAAAGAGTTGAAAGTGTCGACACTGATCAGATGTCGGTGTTGGATCTCAGACAGGGTCGGGGAAGACGTATACAATGGGCACGGGCTTTGACATGGCCATCCCAGACGAGGAGCTGGGCATCATCCCGCGGGCGGTCAGTCACCTCTATAAAGGCATCGAGCAGAGACGGCAGGAGGCCGCAGATCAGGGTCGACCCGTCCCAGAGTTCAAGATCAGCGCACAGTTTCTTGAGGTACAGAGCTATATGTGACCCTGGAGCACAAAACCAGTCTTAAGTCGCTGGGGTATATTTGTAGCAATAGCCGACGATACATTGTATGGGTCAACATTATCGATTTTTCTTTTATGCCAAAAATCATTAGGATATTAAAGCTCATGTTCCATGAAGATATTTTGTACATTTCCTACTGTAAATATATAAAAACTTAACTTTTGATTAGTAATGTGCATTGCTAAGAACTTCATTTGGACAACTTTAAACTCGATTTTCTCAATATTTAGATTTTTTTGCACCCTTAGATTCCAGATTTTCAAATAGTTGTATCAAATAGTTGTAACAAACCATACATCAATGGAAAGCTTATTTATTCAGCTTTCAGATGATGTATGAATCTCAATTTAATCGAAAAATTGACCCTTATGACTGGTTTTGTGGTCCAGGGTCACAAATGTTTTTGTGGACGATGCTTTACTAGATTATTTTAATGATCCTTTTGTGTGACTGATACTATTGGTCAGACAAACAGATAGTCCCGCCCAAACTCATGCCACTGGTTGAGCCAGAAATGGAGGTGGTGGCGCTCAAACAAACAAAAAAATATTTTTTTATTGTTTTTTTTATTATTATTGTTTGAAGACACCATCAAATTAGTGTTGAAAATAGTTTTCATTAATTGAAATTAAAGCTGAAATAAAATTAAATATGTAAAAAATATAAATATTAGATGAAAAGGTTCATTTAAAAAGCTAAAATGAAAATTGTAATAAAAAGTAAAGGCAACATTTGCCTTGGCAACCAACTAAAATAAAATAAGTTGAAGTACTAAAAATTACTACAACTGAAAGAAAATAAAGCAAAATAACTAATATAATAAAAATAAATAAAATTAAAATTTGACAAAATAACAAAATTATATAACAAAATTACTAAACCTTTAAAATTAAAATGAACATTGAAAATTTAAAAATGAAAGGTAATTCACAATGTGAATAAATACATTAATAAATAATATATAAGTAATACTGATTATGACATTTTATATATATAGACACATTACCGGTCAAAAGTTTGGGATCAGAACGATTTTTTATGTTTTTTTACAGAGTTTCTTCTGCTCATCAAGGCTGCATTTCTTTGATCAAAAATACAGGAAAAAATTTTATATTGTGAAATATAATTATGATGTAAAATAACATTTTTCTATTTTAATATACATTAAAATGTCATTTATTGCTGCGATCAAAGCTGAATTTTCAGCATCATTACTCCAGTCTTCAGTGTCACATGATCTTCAGAAATCATTCTAATATGCTGATTTATTATCAGTGCTGGAAACTGATGTGCTGCTTAATATTTTGGAACCCTGTGATACTTTTTCAGGATTCTTTGATGAATAAAAAGTTATAAAGAAGAGTATTTATTTAAAATAGAAATCTTTTCTAACAATATTCACTACCGTTCAAAAGTTTGGGGTCAGTACATTTTTATTCTCTCTTTTTTTTTAAAGAAATTAAAACTTTTATTCAGCAAGGATGTGTTAAATTGATAAGAAGTGATCGCAAAGATTTATATTTTGAATAAATGCTGTTCTTTTAAACTTTTTATTCATCAAAGAATCCTGAAAATTCTTCGCAGTTTCCAAAAAAATGTTTGGCAGCACAACTGTTGCCAACATTAATAATTCTAATAATACATCAGCATATTAGAATGATTTCTGAAGGATCA